TCCTAAAACCTTCCTTTTTTTTAATAACCTGCAATTTGTGAAACATAGTATGTGTGTGGTACAAAAACTGAGTTTTTAAATGAACTACTCGGTAAGAATACAACACTATTCTTTAAAATAATTTTATGACTGTGTGGACTTTAAAATAAAAATACATAAGTAACAGGAAATCATGGTTTGACCACTTCTGCAATCTGTTCTTAGAGGAATATTGGTGGTGCAAGATGACTAGAGTGGGTCCTGACCCAGAGGCTCTTCATAGGACACGCCCACACCTTGTTTTATCCCACGCACCCTCACAATCACTGCTCTGCTTAAACCCCTGTGGCAACCACTGCAACAATCCATCTTTCTTTTCCATTCGGATCCATCATGTTTTGTAAAATAAATCAGCATTCAACTATGCCCACATTGCCCTGTTGTTCCAGATCCCCACTGGATTTTTCCCATTTCTTTTACCCACTCCTTTCTCCATCCATCAAATTGTGTGACCCTAATATTTCCCCCTGCCCATTCTCACCACTCTGCTCCTACCCTCCCCACCCCGTTCATCCTCATACACATATTACTAGTTATCTTTCCATTTCTACAATAAAGGTTCCATACACTATATGTCTTTATAGGGCTGAGTTAGTTCCCTCAGCATAATGCTCTCCAGTCCCTCCCAAGTTATGTAGTAATTTTTGAAATCATTGCTCCTGAGAGTTGTGTAGTATTCCTTTGTGTGACTGTACCACAGTTTCTCAATTCATTTGATTGTGGTTGGACATTTGGGTTGTTTCCAACATCAATCCATCTTGTTAAATGTTGGACACAGCTTTGTTGTGTGGTTCATGGTGTCATTATAAATGGGCTGGAAGCTTGACAGCACTTAAGAACAACAACATACTCTTTGGCGTAATACCACACCCAAAATGCAAGCCAGATGCTATGGACATGGACCTTGCAGAACTGGGCTTCGTGGAGCTTCAGTGAAGAGGCCATATAAACGGTGCCGGCTTTCCTCGAGAGACACAGAGGTTAACTGGTTACATCACTCGGGGGCAACTAGGGGAAGAACAATCCTGAGCCTAGTCTTGTTAGGATTTAGTCCTCAAATTGTTTGAGCCTGATTCTTAATGCTACACCTCTTAAAAGGCTGCTAAAGAAATAAATGAGGAGGTATTTTAATACAAGCAGTGCTAAGCCTGGCCAACTGAACAGAAAACACTTGTAAATGTTGACTGCTATTATTTCCCAGGAGCCCTGGTGACACAGAGCTTAAACCCCTCAGCTGCTAACCTTGAGTCACCAATCTGGAGGCACCAGCCACTTGCACATGCCCCATAGGAGTGTGAATGTATAAGACAACGTGTAAGAAAATTCAATTGTATTAGACAACATACATGAAAATGCCAGAATGGATCCCTTTGAATTCTGGAGAAGAGTATCAAATATAAGATAAACGGTGGGAAGAATGAAAAACACTTGTCATGGAGGAACAGCAGCCAGGGCGTTCTTTACAAGCAAGGATGGAGAGACCTTGTTTCCGGTGCTTTGGGAGTGCTATCAGGAGGGACCAGTCCCTGGAGAAGGACACTAGGCTTGGAAGAATAGAGGCTCCACCCAGGAGAAGAAGTTCCTCAGGATTGGCTGCAAGAACAGGCTTCAGCACAGTAGAGTGGGTGGGTGGGTGGGGGGTTGTTCAGGACCCGCACTGCTTCCTTCTGTCAGCACTAGGTCACCGGAAGTCAGACCTAACTCAAGCTACTCCTAACAGCTGCTCCACAGAAAAATGGAGGGGCAGTCTGCTCTGGTAAATGCTGCAGCCTTGAAAACCCCCTGGGCCAGTTCTGCTCTGCCCCACAGCCTCACCAGGGGTGAGAATTAACTGTGCAACAACAGACTAGGTCTCAGCACTGTAACCGCCACCAGTGCATTTGCTGCCTCCAGCCTCACTGGAGTGGTCAGCCAGGGGTTGGTTCAGCAGGACGGGTTGGTTCAGCAGGATGGGTTGGTTCAGCCAGGGGTTGGTTCAGCAGGACGGGTTGGTTCAGCAGGACGGGTTGGTTCAGCAGGACGGGTTGGTTCAGGAGGACGGGTCGGTTCAGCAGGACGGGTCGGTTCAGCAGGACGGGTTGGTTCAGCAGGACGGGTTGGTTCAGCCAGGGGTTGGTTCAGCTGGATGGGTTGGTTCAGCAGGACGGGTTGGTTCAGCTGGATGGGTTGGTTCAGCAGGACGGGTTGGTTCAGCCAGGGGTTGGTTCAGCTGGATGGGTTGGTTCAGCTGGACGGGTTGGTTCAGCAGGACAGGTTGGTTCAGCAGGATGGGTTGGTTCAGCTGGATAGTGAACAGCAGCTTGATGTGATGGCTACTGTCAATGTCCCAGAGTCTGAAAGACTAGACTGACCTCTTCCATGCTGTTCTCCTGCAGTTCACCCCCAGCAGCCTGGTGAGCCTTGTCCATAAACATAACAAGGAGCCCTAGTTCCCTTAGATTTACATCCACTTGTACAGAAGTCAGAGCTCTAAGCTTTGTCTTTCTGTCATTGTTGTTGAGCTCAGAGCAAGTCTGCGCACACAGAATCGAAGCCTGCATGCTTCTGCACCGTCTCACAGTCTCGGCCAGGCCTGAGCCCAGGTTGCTGCCACTGGGTCAATCCATCTCCATAAGGTCTTCCTTCCTTCACAGACCCTTTACTCTTCCAAGCATGTCTTTCTTCTTCATGTCACGCCCAAAGCAAGAGAGAAAAATACCACTCTTGTATCTCAACAACAAGCTGGACGCACTTCTTCAAAGACAGATTGGTTTGTTATCTTGACAGGCCACGGGATATTGGTATTTTTCATCAACCCCACAAATTTTTCTTTGGTCTTATTCACAGTCTAACCTTCACATGCAAATGAGGCAATTGGAAATACCATGACTTGGGCCAGGCACACCTTAATCTTCCCCAAGCAAAATGGCATCTTTTTTTAATTTAAATGAAAGTTTAGAGAGACTTAGGGTTTCCAGTCATTCATTGCTGCACTCTTCTCCCTGCCCACCCCTCCCCCCAATTCACTCTTCTCTTTGAAAAGAAAAAGAAAACCTTTTTCATTGTTATGAATCCCTCCCTCCCTCCAGGTCCGCTCCACTGTGCCTTTTTAGAGAACTCCTCCTCAAAGGCTGTGCGGCATTAACTGGAGAGGAGTTCTGCTTGTTCAGGCCCAGGAGCTCCAGGATGCCTGTCAGCTGTGACGGATGGGGCCTCATTAAGGAAGCACAAACATGGGGTGTGTGCTGAATTCACGCATGATTTCTTCGGAGCCCGGGAGGAGCCCACTCACTGGTAGTTCTTACTCACCGGTTTATAGAACAGTACAGTTTATTAATTAACCTCATTTTAAACAATAATCTTCTTAATTTTCTCAGGTAATGATACTCATAGCCTGATTCCTAGACCAGCACTATTAGTGCTACGCGGGAATCTTCTAGATTGTGATTTCCTAAGCTGCCTTCAGTGGTGGTGTTGGGTGTTGGTGTGATGGCAGAACCACTAGCTATTCAAATGCCAGTAGGGTTCTCTGCCTCCCGACAGCCCCTCATACTGAACAGGTTTTAACGGAGCTCCCAGACTAAGCCAAACTAGGGGCGGATTATATACCTGATGAACTATTTCTGAAAGCTGGGCAATTTTCAGAAACCTCTGAAAATCAGAGGGAGGGTCAGCTGTGAGCTGGTTCATAACAAAAGCAACATGGATCACAATACAGAGGCCACATACTGTGGGCACCTTGTCAGGGGGGATGAGTCCTTGGAGAAAGACATCATGATGGGCAAGGTGGGGAGGTCAAAGAGAGGAAGACCCCCCAGCAAGATGGCTTGACACGGTCACTATAGCAATGGACTTAAGCACATCAGAAATTGTGAAAATGGCGCAAGACAGGGTTGGGCTGAATAACACCTAACAACCACCCAAGGTTCCTGGGAAGAAGCAGAGTGTTTGCACTGCCCACAGTGATTCCAAATAGTCAAAGCCCTGTTGGTGCCTTGGATTAAGTTTCGGGGTAAGAGTTGGCAATTCCACCTTATTCTCTGGGAGAAAGAGGAGTCAGGCCTCTTCCATAAAGATTTACAGCCTGCATGCCCCAGGGGAGGGTGGACTCTGCCTTCCAGGCTACGAGTCAGAAACCACTTGGCTGGATACCTTCTGTGTACAAACAAGGGAAGTGGGCAATGCTGGAGAGCATGGAGAGCATCACCATTCATCCTGACCAGGTATCATTCTCTCTCTGCAGATAACTGAGAGCCACACTCTCAGATTCTGAAGACCCCATGGTGTTAATTATCACGTGCAACCCCAGCTCATCTGGCCCCACGTGAGGCCCTTTTCATTTCAAATACGTCTTTATATTATCAGAGGTGCATTCAATGAATGTAGACATTCAGTAACAAGATGTCAGAGAAAATAAAGGTGAACTTCAAGAGAGATCTGTTGATCCCTTCGTCATCCATGCAACCCCCCAAACAGTTCATTGCCAACCCTACCAATTTCTCCTCAGAAGAGTGGATACTCCCACCAGGGCCTGATGCCTCCCTCTCCATTGTTTTGTGTTTTTTCTTTTTAAATGTGGACACCTGTTTTATAACACTTGTTATCACATGTCCTCACCTGGCGTTTCATGCCCAAGAACTCTCCTATGATGCCCTTTAGAACTTCAGCCACTTAGAGCAAGAAGGCACTAATCATTAAACACGTACATCAACCAACGCCACAGCCAGTCACTACTGCATTGGCCACTTCTCATGGTGAGCGGGTGTGTGTTGGAGTAGAACTGTGCCCCAGAGGGGCTTCAAATGAAGATCACCAGGCCTTTCTTCCAAGGCCCCAAGGTTGACTCCAATTCCCAACTTTTCAGTTAGTAACCAATCACTTAATATGCAGGTACTCCAAATATGAGGCTTTTCTCCACCAGGACTTTACTACACCAAAAAAAGAAACTCAATAGGGGCTTAAAAGAGGGAGTTGGCACTTACTTGCACCCTCAGCTGGTCGAGGGTCACCCTTCTTGTCATTATCGAGGATAACAGCCAGGCCCACAGAGTCTGCAGGCAGCATGCAGCTGCTGAGGTCCACACGGGTCAAGCTGGCTGGTTCTCTTCCACCATCTCCCACAGCAATTCTGGGGCGAGCCCCGCTGGGTAGATCAGCTTCTGGCTCTCTCCTCTGGGGCCGCTGGACAATGTGAACGATGCTCTGCTGCTCCAGGTCACAGTTCTGTGTGTGGGCAGGATAGAAGGTGCACGTGTCAGGTTTAAAGTGTGCACAACCAGCTAGCCCTGGCCATGTTCTGGTTTTCTGGTTCAGGGGGCCTGAAAGGCAAGTGGTATGTGCAAACTGACCAGACCCAGTTCCCTTTCCTGGTCACAAGCTTACAGACCCTACACTCCATGTGTGTTAGACAGCTAATGTTGAAAGGAGTCCAGAAACTGGTATTAGGGTGGATGCAATAAGAGAAAACAAAGGCAATATACAAAGGGGATATACTGGGTGAGGGACCCCAAAGTGTCACAAAGTAGACATGAGCTCAGATTGAAGTACTGAGTTTTGAGTTGTCTGACAGGAAGAGTGTAGGAATTGCAAATAAAAGGGATCTTGTTAAAAGTGGCAGGCTAATAATTGAAAGGTCAGAGGTTCAAATCCACTATCTGTTCTTTAATGAAATACGGGCAGTATCATCCTATTCCGTTTATAGCTTCAGAAACTGATGAAGGATTGCTACAAGTTGAAACTGACTGAGTAACTATGAGTTTGAATTTTCTGGTTTGGGTTTTAATTAATGTAATAAAGCAAAATCTGCATGAACAGTTAGATGGAAAACCAATTTACTCCATAAACTTCCAATCAAAACACAGAAAAAGAAAAGAAATTTTGGAAATAATAATATTCTTCTAAGACTAATGATGATGATGATGATATGCTTCTAAGACTGGTTATGTTCAGAAGCAGTATGTCCTTAGAGTGCTCAAATTCAAATAGTAGTGTTGATTTCTCCTGGCACCAAAGCTATCCAATTGATGCTCACCCGAGACACAATCAGCTAGAGACCCAAGACCACTAATACCTAGAGCTCCAAGAAGAGTCTTCTAGGAGCCCCAGGTGGTTCAGCAGATGGTCAGCTGACCTGATTTCCAAGAGAGGGGGAAGCTCACTGAGTACAGCACTGGGGGTCATGTTTATTAAGCTGTAGTAACGGACAGTGTTCTGTTACCCACTCCTATTGAATAATCAGCCTCTCTTAAGCTGAGAGAACTGAAAAACAAACTTAAACCTTGAGTCACAATATTGAAGGATGCTATGGGCAATATATTGAATGACCCAGAAAAAAAAATCACAATTACAATAAAAAAATGTATAAAAAAACCCCCTACAACAACAAGATTGAGAGAATATAGAGAATCACTTTCTCGAAAAGAACTGAGTGATACTGAAGAATTTCAGGAAGTTCCATACGAGCAGGAGTCAATAGTAATGAAGGAGGAGGTGGAAGTGGCATCAAAGGCATTGACAAAAAATAAGACCCCCAAGAATCGATGGGATACCAACTGACTTCTTTCAATTTATAGATGCAGCCTTGGATGCACTCACAAGTCTATGTTAGGAAATTTCGAGGACAGCTGTCAGGCCAACGGATTGGAAGAGGTCCATATTTGTTCCTATTGCCAAGAAAGGTGATCCAATAACATCCAATAAAACTGATCCTGTGGTAAGACATAGTTTCCGCATGCTGCTGCACCTGTTGTTTTGTTGTTATGTGCCGTCGAGTCACTTGCGACTCACAGCGACGCTATGTACAACAAGCCCTAAACTCTGCTCTGTCCTGTGCCAATTGCACTGTCTCTGACACTCCCATCCCTATTATCCCAGTCACTGAATCAATCCACCTCATAGAGGGCCTTCCTCTCCTGCGCCGTCCCTCCACCCTCTCAAGCATGATGTCCCT